CACTCCCAGTTATTCCACCCTTTCTAATTTCCTGGTCCATTGGGAGACAGGGCAGTCAACAGCAAGGGCACATATATGATTCTTATCTTCACATCTTAAGAGATTCAGGCAGAGGGAGGTACATTAAATGTTTGCCCTTGCTTCAGTGGGAAATAAAACCTTTTATGAACCCCACCACCGATATATTGCCCTGGACCAAAATATTGCACTGCACGTCAGGGTGAGTTCACTCATGTACACATAAGGCGATCAGAACAGTTTTTCAGCAGAATACAAATTGAAAGGCCTTTATTGAGTGAGATAGAGAGGTATAAACACAAAAACATCAAACGAATTTTACAATAGTAAGACTGCGAAGAAAAATAACTGATTTTTTTAATATCCATTTTATTGATCCCCAAATTTAGCAATTATGGTTATGTTGGGTCTGAAATAGAAAATTAAATTATGAAATCCCTCATTCTATTCTGGAACTGGACGCTTCCATTGCTGTGAATGTTGTCCTTTTCTCCTTCTCATTTGCATTCTATGCCCTGGCTGTGCCTTCACTGAACTGGACTGTGATGTCACTTGATAATTCCTTAATATATATTTTAAAAGAAAAATGAGAATCGTATCAAGAAAAGATTAACGTAAGATATAGGTGTTTTGTATGTATTTTATATTGTATTATTTTGACGGCAACTAAAAACTATGCCATAAAACACAAAAAAAAATACTTTATTGATTTTTTTTGTTTGAATACAGGTGGGTCATTCAAAGGTTGATCTACCAACCTCCTCTGTACTTCTCCTCAGACCTAGCTCTCTCAAGTCGGCAAACATGTTAATTATCCAGTACTTATTTTAATAGATAGCAGCATATTAATTATTCTTTGATGCAAAATGGCTGAAGGCTAAAGACCCAATTTGAACTCAATCATTCTTTTCAATACACTTAAAATAATTACACAACATCAAATTATGCGCTCGGGAGTCCTTTATAAATTGGCTTTCACCAGCAATTAAATGGTTACACTGCCAACAATTTAATTTAACTTAACATCTCTGCAAAATAGCCAGACAATTGGACAACGAAAAGGTTTTGTCTTCAAATCACGCAAGCTTCCGGGCGTCTTGGTAACTAGCATGGGCTAGTTAATTAGGACACTTTAAAATGACATAAGGTATAGGAGCAGATAGTGTTACTTCTGAAGCAGATTCAGTGATTTCACACACACAAAAAAAAATCTGTATTTTTTTTATGTATAGATTTTTTTTGTTCTTTAATTACATGGGGCGGAGTCATAACGACATAAAATAATGATTTGATGAATATAACCCTTACTGTAATGTATCATGTTGTAATGTATCATGTAGCTTTTGGCCTATTTATGTGCCTGTGTTGGCTATTTAAAGAGTTGCTACAATGCTAAATTAAATATTTAATACACTTACTGACTTTTCTTCAACACATGTGGTGACTTCGCCCTATAATTAGTCTTTTTTAAAGCCATATTTAGTGTTTTTATTGTGCTGTAGGGATGGTTTAATACACAAACACTCAACCCACTCCCATTCACAAATGCAAATATATTTCCAGTTTCCTAAGAAACGCAACTACGCAAATCCAAAACATGTTTTTCTTTTGTAGAAGAATCATGGTGGAATATTACATTATCTCCTGTTAGATAACACTTAACTCTACTCTGCTATCAAAATATTCCCAGTAGCCCTATAACACGAGAGGTAGTTCTCTTTAATCTGTGCATTCTTTACATGTCATTCAACTATAAACACAGATTTTGGCAACCATTTGGAAGTAAAACATTTTTTTTAAGTACAGAAATCTTCTTTCACTAGATATGTGTAGGCTGGTTTTCACCCCATTTAATAATGGGGTGAAAAACATCACACTTAAAGGGAATCTATATTGTTAGGAATACAAAGTTGTAACGCTATTGAGCCCTCTGGATCCCCCCTCCCTTGTGCTCTTCCCCCACCAAGGTTAAAGGTTAAAAACCCATTACTTACTTACCAAATTCCAGTGCCGATCTTCCTCGAACTCCACCTTCTCCAACGTCATTGGACGGGAAGAGCAGATGTGCATCTGGCAACGTGAACACATTAGGCCCTCCCTAAAGGGAAGCGTTGAATCAGTGTTTTTCTACAGGGTTTTGACTGATGATGGGTGTCCTCATGCAGAGCGTTTGGACATCCGACCTCAGTTGGGCGGTAGACGACCACTAGAGGCTGTCTTAGTGCTGCAATGTATACATTGCAGTTTCTCAAAAACTGCTATTTTTTTACATTGCAGAACTAAGTGTGACAGTTAAAGTGGTCTGGGTGACTGTGGTGTCCATTTAATTAGGTCATGGCCTCTGCTCTTATTGTAGAAGTTCTACGTGCTTTGTTGGGTATCAGTATGACTGAGATTTTGTATCTCATATGTTGGAGGGAATTATTTTTAGAAAGACACACTTTGTATTCTGGGAATATATTGCAAGTAATTCCTTCTGGGAAAATCGTTTAAGCATCTTTAAAAAAAAAAATCTTTTTAATTCTTTATTTGTGATGTGGCAGCATATCAATGAAGTCAACAATTTAAAGAGGGCCACATTTTTAGGTAATATACAGTGTCTTAAATTCCATCACCAATAGTAACTGTTTTAAAACCTGACACACACAATAACAATGCAGTTGTAGTCCCAGCTATAAAAACAATATATCATGTAGCGGAGATGCAATATTCCCCAGGTTATCTCCGCTTATAATCCAAGTGAGGCTCAGGAACAAGTAAATAGTAAATCCACAGGCAAGGTTTCCAGCAGGTAAAATAACAGCAATACCCCAACAGCAATCCCAATAACTGGACGACACACAGTTTCAGGAGCAGAACTGAAAGCTTTAATCCACAGTCTCCTTTTAAAGCATGCTCCCATGCAAGGGAGGGATTTACAATCATTAATACAGTAGCCAATCCTGTCCTGGTAACCTCCCACACATCTCCTCCCCTCAGCCAGCATCATAATCCCCTTATCCAGTACAGTAATTCCCCCCGTTTCTGGATGTACCCCTAAACATAGGGGTACCTCTTTAAATCCTACATCCCCGGATAGCCCTGATCTGGGTGAACAACATATCCAAAAATCACCCAGATCAGACCAGGGGTTCGGGAAATGTATGGAGGGAATAAAATGACCGACCGCACTAACTGAGACAGCCGAATGAGGTTCCATGCGAATGGGCCCTGCGGTCGGTCCTGGCATAAGGGAACAAAATACACGAAAGCCTCTAGCTATAGAGGCTAGGGAGGGTTCGCCTGAATCCCCTCGTTCGGTTCTTTCTATCTACCGAACGAGGGGCCGTTCGGTAGTTTGGAACCGAACGGACCGGGCTTGTGGAGGTCTCAGCGGTGTTCGCCTACTCGAGTGTCCGATTTTAGTTCCAGACACTCGACGGCAAAACACCGCTGTTCGGGAGTTTTAAAATGGCCGCCGCCACGTGTTCGTTTGTCGAATGGCGGCCACCCCCGAGAACAAAGGACGGCTACTTACTAGTCAATTACCCGTTCGCAACAATGTTGCAACGGGTAATTGAGGACACACTTCACACAGGGGAGGTCTGGCTGTTCGGTAGTTTCATTCGAATGCACTAAGGGAATGAAACTACCGAACAATCAGAGGAATACAATTCTTTTAAAAAACATATAACACAGCAGATCACACGAATGCAGTTATGTACAATATATTTGCAGGACAGCCCGGTGCCATCCGCTACATATCATATAGCATCTATTCATGTCATGCATCTCTCCTCGCTTCCCCACATACAATCTCTTTCTTGTCCAAGCCCACGGTCACGCATCTCAGCACCCAGTACAGGGGTCGTTCCCTCTCCCATAGCCCCGGTCCCCATACATTATCAGGCCGCTCTCTATCCTTGAGTTAGTCGTGTACCCTCTCATGTTCACATGTACCACTCTATACCAGTCATATGATTCTCTTGTGTGTGAATTGCCTTGCTGTATACATAATCCAACTCTTTAGCTGCCCAATAAAGTGAAAGAGTAAGAGTTTACTCACTACGCCTGTGTTGCTCAGTAGGGTATCTATTAGTCTCTGCTAAATAGGTAACCTATATGGGTCTACAATGTCATCTGAACGTACAAGAGCTGTTAAATCAACAGGCTTGCTGTGTAGCGTATGTCTAAAGTATGTCGTCTACCCTCTCCCTCTGTACATGCTGTGTTTCTCACTTTCACTACTCTTTTCCCCCATTCACTCAGTCATTTGTACTTCCCGGTCATTCCTGGAAAGGGTAATGTAACGAAAATATAGGAGCTAAATGTACCATAACAATTAGTGAGCCTCTGAGTAGAAGTTAAAAATTAAAAGAGAAAAAGGGGAGAAAAAATGTGATGCTTGAAGGTCTGCAAAGAGCTTGGTTCTCTCAAGTGTCTCCATAATGCCCGGTGGGTAAGCATGTGATCAACACCCCTGTGCTATAACAGTCCTATGGAGGGTTCAGTAGTCGTGGCCTTCCCTGCACCACCTCCACTTCAGAGCTCCTCTCCTGTTCCAGGTTGTCGCCGGCAGCGCTCGGATCCTTGCTTTTTCCCTGTCCCGGGGATAAGAGCTATGGAAGTTGGAGCTCCTGTAGAAATTTCTAGGGTCCTCCTTTAGTGACTGCAAGAGAACTCTGTCACGGTGTGGTACCCCTAGAGTGCCAGATGCTCCCCATCGATATCTGATGTCGCGGTCCCACAGTTTTTACAAAGCAGCAATGTTTGACAATAAAAGGTTCAAAGTACAGGACCACTGATGAAGTGGTCAGGGTGACGTAAGGGGTCCATTCATTTCAATAAAAAAAAAAAAAGACAGATTGTTTTATATTTCTGACATTTCAAGAATGCCTTATATTGCCCGTGACTTTTTTACTAGGGTTTTTGTTGTGATGTTTATGTCCAGTTGTAAATAAAGTTACACTAGTCATTCCGCTGCACTTCTTGGGGCTAGTGGGTTAAATTGCAAACACATTGCATAAAGCACCCTGGCTGTTTGGTTCACACGGAATAGAAGAGCGGTAGAATGCTTTGTATCTGTGTTTATGTGATAAGAACCTGCGATCTGAGTGTTTAATGACAATGAAGATCAAGTTAATGGTGACAAAAGCTGCAGTCGATGGTTCAGATTTGTTTAAGAGACTCCTATCTGCAAACCGCTGGGAGACGCTTAATATTTGCTCTTTTGATACCTGGCGATGGGACCCAGGCATAGCTGCCATGCTACTAAATGTTTTCTGGCTAAATGGGGAGATTTCACAGCAAACTGCTGTCAGCTCAGCCTCCCTCCAATCTCTAAATAATTCCAAACATTGTTTTAGAGGAATGGCCAGCTAAGTGAATTTGATTTTTATTATTTATTATTTAAAAGCCCTGGCACAAGGTGGTTTGGGGGATTTTTTTGCCAGCCCAGAAATCGTATAACCGTATTTAGCTTTACTTTTTAATGGTCTCACATTCAGTCGGTACAACTCCTGATACTAGACATTTTTTTGTTGATTTTGATTACAAAATAAGTAAAAACATGTTCTCATAGATGTCTTCTCTCTGTGATCATTAACAGTGCCATCAAACTAATCATAGAATCTTGTCCTGTGATGTCTCTAGTACTTTCTGTACGGATTAGTCTGACTTTATATGTCACATGTACTCAGTATCATTTGTAATTCAGATGCCTTTACATGGATGTGCCATGTACTTGTCTTATGGGTAAAGTGATGCACGGATGAGTTGGAGTCATTGTTTCACACAATGGCTACATTAATCACTTCTTGCAATGTGATTTGATTGCCTCCAGGCACTAATTCTGCAATGAATCTTCTCCATTTTAACCTCTGCAGGGAGAGCCGGAGGATATCTTCTCCAATCTGTTTATAGCCAGGTCCCTCCAGAGCCATATGTTTGACCTCATAAGATTCCCAAACACAAATAATCAATTCTTTATATGCCTAAGGCTCTTGTGCAATACATATTACTCTTGTGCACATATCGATCGAAGCCACTAGCATACAAATAGTTAAACCATATATAGTTACTTCCTCTAACTATCCACTACGTACCCTCCACTCCCCCGTCCCCCCAATTTAATTAAACCTTGTAAACTAACTTGGGGAGGGGAGGAGGGTGGACCTCTGATTTGTTGTTTTAAAGAACTTGTATGCTGCATGCTTGGTGCTCTGTCACCGATTTACCTCATTCTTGGTTTTATTTTGCTATATCCATGCACGCTTGATGCTAACTCTGTATCCATGCACGCTTGATGCTCTCTTTGTATCCATGCACACTTGATGATCTCTCTGTATCCATGCACACTTGATGCTCTCTCTGCATCCATGATGCAGGCTTTATGCTCTCTGTATCCATGCATGCTTGATGCTCTCTCTGTATCTGTGCACGTTTGATGCTCTCTCTCTGTATACCTGCACGCTTGATGCTCTCTCTGTATCCGTGCACACTTGATGTTCTCTCTGTATCCATGTTGCATGCTTGATGCTCTCTCTGTATCCATGTTGCACGCATGATGCTCTCTCTGGATCCATGATGCTAGCTTGAGGCTCTCTCTGTATCCATGATGCACGCTTGAGAATAGTGATCAATATCCCAATGAGTGAAACCAAAACGTCAATAATACTCACAACACCTTATGTGGGTATTCCCTTTATCCCCACAAAGACACAAAGATATACATAGAATATAAGGTGGAGTATATAAATAGAGATCCTTCCAACTGTAATGTTAAACCGGATAATGATTTTTAACCCTTCCCTAAAAATAAGCACAAATAGGGAAAAAGAATAGTGCAATATTGCCAATGTCCAGTTAAAAATAATAATAAGTGGGTAATGGTACACTCACAAACATAGAGCCACTGGATAGGCTCAATGATTGAAGCACTGTGGGTACAGTTGGAAGGATCTCTATTTATATACTCCACCTTATATTCTATGTATATCTTTGTGTCTTTGTGGGGATAAAGGGAATACCCACATAAGGTGTTGTGAGTATTATTGACGTTTTTGTTTCACTCATTTGGATATTGATCACTATTCTCAAGCGTGCATCATGGATACAGAGAGAGCCTCAAGCTAGCATCATGGATCCAGAGAGAGCATCATGCATGCAACATGGATACAGAGAGAGCATCAAGCATGCAACATGGATACAGAGAGAACATAAAGTGTGCACGGATACAGAGAGAGCATCAAGCGTGCAGGTATACAGAGAGAGAGAGCATCAAACGTGCATGGATACAGAGAGAGCATCAAGCATGCATGGATACAGAGAGCATAAAGCCTGCATCATGGATGCAGAGAGAGCATCAAGTGTGCATGGATACAGAGAGATCATCAAGTGTGCATGGATACAAAGAGAGCATCAAGCGTGCATGGATACAGAGTTAGCATCAAGCGTGCATGGATATAGCAAAATAAAACCAAGAATGAGGTAAATCGGTGACAGAGCACCAAGCATGCAGCATACAAGTTCTTTAAAACAACAAATCAGAGGTCCACCCCCCTCCCCTCCCCAAGTTAGTTTACAAGGTTTAATTAAATTGGGGGGACGGGGGAGTGGAGGGTACGTAGTGGATAGTTAGAGGAAGTAACTATATATGGTTTAACTATTTGTATGCTAGTGGCTTTGATCGATATGTGCACAAGAGCAATATGTATTGCACAAGAGCCTTAGGCATATAAAGAATTGATTATTTGTGTTTGGGAATCTTATGAGGTCAAACATATGGCTCTGGAGGGACCTGGCTATAAACAGATTGGAGAAGATATCCTCCGGCTCTCCCTGCAGAGGTTAAAATGGAGAAGATTCATTGCAGAATTAGTGCCTGGAGGCAATCAAATCACATTGCAAGAAGTGATTAATGTAGCCATTGTGTGAAACAATGACTCCAACTCATCCGTGCATCACTTTACCCATAAGACAAGTACATGGCACATCCATGTAAAGGCATCTGAATTACAAATACTGAGTACATGTGACATATAAATTCAGACTAATCCGTACAGAATGTACTAGAGACATATTTATATACTCCACCTTATATTGTATGTATATCCATGATGCACGCTTGAGGCTCTCTCTGGATCCATGATGCACGCTTGAGGCTCTTTCTGCATCCATGCATGCTTGATTCTCTCTATGTATCCATGCATGTTTGATGCTCTCTCTGTATCCATGCACACTTGAGGATCCCTCTGTATCCATGATGCACGCCATGGAGCCAAAGTCTTCACAAAGTCAGTTCTCATACGAATGAGCTCCATGGGATTCCTATCTGGGGTACAGTGTAGTCAGGTACAACTACCGAATACAGGGCCGTTCGTGCCAAACTGTGTCTGTTTTTAGTTCCATGAGTTAGGCGTCGAACACCGCTGTGAGTTCGCGTGTTTAAAATGGCCGTGACCTCGTGTTCGGTATACGAATGGCGGCCACCCAGTATTCATCAATTAAGCTGCGGTTAACCGCAGCTTCTGGGAGGCTAGTTGCCGACACACTCCAGCTCCCAGGTGGTCTAATCATTCGTGTGGTTGTTCGGTAGATTGAATCTACCGAACACCAGGCAGAAGAGCACGAATAAGTCTTTTCTGCAAGGGAAACTAAGTCTTTTAACATGGGGCCATAATCCAAAGGCAACAGGCGAGCAACCAGGCTTCTCCAATGCAATGTGGCGAGGTTGCTCTCGTCACATCGATGCATGCTGTATGCTCTCTGTATCCATGATGCACGCTTGAGGTTCTCTCTGTATCCATGATGCACGCTTGATGCTCTCTCTGTATCCATGATGCACACTTATTCTCTCATGCTGTATCTCTGCTTACTTTGCACACTGTCTCAGTATCCCTTTTTTTTTCTCACTGCGTTCATGCATGTTTGCTATGTCGCTGCATTCCTGTATGCTTGATGCTCTCTTGCTGTGTCTGTGCACACTTGGCATGCACTTACTGTATTGCTGTTATTTTGGAAATACAACTGGATGCTCTGAAGTTGTTTTAAACCAACCCAATGACATTATGAAGCCACTAACCCAGGTAGTGGTAAATCCAGTGTGACCACAGTTATATAGAATATAAAACTCTCACATTTACAATAAATGGAATTAAACATCACGTATTGCATTAACGATTTAATCCCATTTTGTATATGGAAAAAGCATTCCAGTGAGTGTTCCAAGTGTTTTTGGTAAATTAGGATTGTTAGAGTAGACTGAATCAACAGACAGGGCATATAAGGCTAAAGTTTGGCCAATTATTGAGCCGTTCATTCAACGCGCTTGTAATGGATGGAAGGCTTAAACTAGTTAGAGTGCATAATATAACAGTTGTGGATGCAGATCTGCTCTGAAAAGAATCCACATTGGAATTGACTTTAAAAATACAATGATTAGATTTTTGGGGGGATTTTATTTTTATGTTCGAACTTAAAGGAACACTATAGGCACTCAGACCACTTCAGTTTATTGAAGTTGATGGGGTGCAGTGTCCAAGATCCCTTAACCCTGCAAAAGTAATTATTGCAGTTTTTAATAAACTGCAATAATTACCTTTGCGGGATAACTCCATCTTTTAGTGGCTGACCAGACAGCCACTAGAGGGACCTTAAGGTCACTTGGTGACTTTCGGTCACCCCAAACCCCATAGGAAAGCATTGTATAATGCTGTAATAAGTACAGAATAGAGACTTGTTGTGGCTAGCAGGCACTAGAGATGATGCAGTGGATTTCACAGGTACCGTGACATGCTGAAAATCAACACCCTGTGTTTTGTCTCGTTGGAGAATTTCACATGTTGATATTTATGTTCAATTATCTTGACATTGCCTTCAAGTATTTGTTTGTGTTGTGTTAATTTGACATCAAGCTTATTGGGTATGGATGGCAATGTCTGGAACCTGCTTAGTGCCACGTTATTAAGTGTTAAATTAACTGTGAAACACTGCAGAGGATTGGTGGGAATTCCTCGCATACAATGAGCATAGGTAGGACTCTCTCTTAATTCTGTGTGTACTGGTGTAGTTTTCTCTCAGGCTGAGTACATTGGTGTGTCATCCTCTCAGTCTGTGTGTATTGGCGGCACTTCCTCTTGGGCTGTGTGCATTGGTGGAACTTCATCTCAGTCTGTGTGTATTAGGCAGCACTTTCTCTCTGTGTGTGCTGGCGCGACTTTTTCTCGGTCTGTGTGTGTTGGTGGGGCTTCCTCTCAGGTTGTGTGTGTTTGTTGGGCTTCCTCTTGAGCTGTGTGCATTTGGTGGTGGTTCCTCTTGGTCTGTGTGCATTGGCAGGGCTTCCTTTTAGGCTGTGTGCATTGGCGTGGCTTTCTCTGGGGCTGTGTATGTTGGCAGGGCTTCCTCTCGGGGTGTGTCTTGGCGGGCCTTCTCTTGGGTTGTGTGTGTTTGCGGGTCTTCCTCTTAAGCTGTGTGCATGTGGTGGGGCTTTCTCTCATGCTGTGTGCATTGGCGAGGCTTCCTCTTGCGCTGTGTCTTGGCGGGGCCTCCTCGTGGGTTGTGTGTGTTTGCGGGTCTTCCTCTTAAGCTGTGTGCATGTGGTGGGGCTTTCTCTCATGCTGTGTGCATTGGCGAGGCTTCCTCTTGCGCTGTGTCTTGGCAGGGCTTCGTCTTGGGCTGTGTCTTGGCAGGGCTTCCTCTCGGGCTGTGTGCATTTGGTGGGGGGTTCCTTTTGGTCTGTGTGCATTGGCAGGGCTTCCTTTTAGGCTGTGTGCATTGGCTTGGCTTTCTCTGGGGCTGTGTATGTTGGCAGGGCTTCCTCTTGGGCTGTGTCTTGGCGGGGCCTCCTCGTGGGTTGTGTGTGTTTGCGGGTCTTCCTCTTAAGCTGTGTGCATGTGGTGGGGCTTTCTCTCAGGCTGTGTGCATTGGCGGGGCTTCCTCTTGCGCTGTGTCTTGGCAGGGCTTCGTCTTGGGCTGTGTGCATTTGGTGGGGGGTTCCTTTTTGTCTGTGTGCATTGGCAGGGCTTCCTTTTAGGCTGTGTGCATTGGCTTGGTTTTCTCTGGGGCTGTGTATGTTGGCAGGGCTTCCTCTCGGGCTGTGTCTTGGCAGGGCCTCCTCTTGGGTTGTGTGTGTTTGCGGGTCTTCCTCTTAAGCTGTGTGCATGTGGTGGGGCTTTCTCTCAGGCTGTGTGCATTGGTGGGGCTTCCTCTTGCGCTGTGTCTTAGCAGGGCTTCGTCTTGGGCGGTGTCTTGGCAGGGCTTCCTTTTGGGTTGTGTGTGTTTGCGGGTCTTCCTCTTAAGCTGTGTGCATTGGTGGGGCTTCCTCTTGCGCTGTGTCTTGGCAGGGCTTCGTCTTGGGCTGTGTCTTGGCAGGGCTTCGTCTTGGGCCGTGTCTTGGCAATGCTTCCTCTCGGGCTGTGTCTTGGCAGGGCTTCCTCTCAGGCTGTGTCTTGGTGGGGCCTCCTCTTGTTTTGTGTGTGTTTGCGGGTCTTCCTCTTAACCTGTGTGCATGTGGTGTGTCTTCCTCTTAAGCTGTGTGCATATGGTGGGGCTTTC